GTGTAGGGAGAGAAGGGGGAAACTTGCAACTCTCTTAAATGTTAGTTCCTCGGTAACATTGAGATGTTGTGTGAGGGGTAAGCAATTCCATAGGCAGTCACTTTGGCTACCTTGTCCCCAGTTGAGATTCAGCAGACTGGATTGCGGGGCGGGGGGGGAGCATTTTTGGAGTCTGGTTATGTCGAAGAACAGATTAGTTTTAAGTTACATGTTGGCATTGCATATGTCCCTAGAAGGTGGCTTCTGACTGTTCTCTCTGTTTATACTACCCTTGGAAATTGGCCCTCTCTTTTTGTTTCTTTCCCAATTTACAGCTGTCAGGGACCTTGATGCCAGATGCATCAGATGCCAGCTTCCCCAGAGTTGAGCACTAGCCTTATGGAGAAGATCACGCCTGCCTGTAAAAGGTAGGCTTTAATTTCTGCAGTGTAGCCTTCTGGTGGCTTTCAAATGGGTAATTTCATGAACACTTACCTAGCTGGGAGGTGCAATGGGAAAATCCTTTTACACTTCACATTCTTGGTTAGGACACCTGGCTACAACAGACTTCTTACTGAGTGTCACAGGTTAAAGCAGAGCGTCGATAAACTGAATGACAGACGTCCTGTTTTAACCAAAACCAGGACACTGAGGGCAGCGTGCAGCTTTCTTTACAGATACTGAAGCTGGCTGTGGCAAGTCATTTTTCTGAGCTGAGGTGCTGGGCATTGGTGTTGGAAATTAAGCAGCTCACAAAGCTGGGGCTTAAGGAAGCTTGTAGACTAACAGAAAGGGGAAAGCGGCTGCTTTCACTTTGAGTGGAATAAACGGGTTGTGCATACAGCACTGTCAAGTGCATCACAGAAAATGGACTTGCAAGAAGGGAGAAAAGCATTTTGGGGGAGTTTATCAAGCTTAACATTAGGGGAAAATTTTAGTAACTATGTCATGCAATCTAAATTTATTTAATGTAGCCGTTGATACCTCAGTGCTCTCCAAGCACGAGATAAGACTCTGGGAGAGAATGAGGCTTAGGAAAAGTCCTGGCTCTGTGGTTGACTTCTAGTCTTAAGACTGAGGTACGAAGTCTGAACTCTGCCACTCTGTTTGCACTTTCACTTAGCATTGCATCTTATCATTTTAGATTAAGCTGAGGCTTTTAAATGTGGTTTTAATAGTTTGTTATCTTGCCCACTGAAAGACATGCACTTCTCCAAGTCATTTTGTCTGAAAAAAAAACCTTGTAGGAAAAAAACTGTGGTTTTGTTTGTTGTTTTGCTTTTTTCTGTTAGGGTATTGTGTCCTCTTGTTGCTGAGCATCTACCAGGGAGTCTGCTGTATATGTTGGGGTTTGTCTCATCCTCTTGAAAGCGAGAACTGCAGTGCTTAGCTGAGAGATTTTACTCTCATGCTTACCCCTCTTTCCTCACTGAGGCTGGGCAGAAGGACTGCACGTTCCAGAGGGAGCAGAAGTTGGAGAGGATACAGAGGGAAGGAGACAAGGTTCTCTGGAAGGGTCTTCAGAGGCTATGCTCCAGAATCTCACCGGCTCTAATGGAACCTTGTGTCCTGCATAGATGGGCTTTACTCAGTGCTCTGGGTGCGCTGGTGCTGGCAGCCTGGACGTGGTCGCTTACCTGTCCTTGCGGGGATTCTCCCTGTGGCTGCAGGGACCACCAGGCACCGCAGCCTCCCTCCTCTCTTGCTCAGTGTTAGTTACAGATAGCCACGGGCATGTCGTGGCAGTACTGTTAACATGCGGGTGCAACCTGCGCATCTTAGTTTTTTCTTTTGGGCTCTGGTGTTTCCGTTTTGAGGAGAGCGAGCAACTGCCAGCTCTGAAATCTCTGCACGAATGCTGCACGTGCTTTTAATCTATATGAGTGTATTTGTTGCTAATATTCACATGATGTGGTGGCTTAATGCCACTAGGAAGAAAGAAGAAAAACCATTAGGATGGGCAGCAATCCTGATAATACAAGTAGGGGAGAAAGAAACCTTACTAAAGTTGTCTCATCTGTGAAGCACAGAGGTGTAAGTGCACAGCTTTAGCAAGGTAAGGACATGTAATAAAATAAAGGAAGCATATAATCAGGGAGTACCTCTGTGGTTTTGCTGGCCTGTCTATAACATCATTCTGCTTTTCTCTCGACGCAGGTGGCTGAAGCAGTGGGAACAATCCACCGCAGTTTCCAGGTGCTAAACCTGCGAGGTCTGTGCAGGAGAGAGGAGGATCACTTGCCCTCTCGTTAGCGCAGCAGGCTGCCGTGGGAAGTGGCTCAGGTCCAGTCCGAGGACAGAGCTCTCACTGCCATCGCTGCTGGATTTCTTGCATGCAAAACCGCTCCTGACATGTTGACTTGCTGGCCCAGGGCCAGGCCTTGTTGAGGTTGCTCAGAGAAAAATAGTGGTTGTTGGTGTGTGACAAGGGCAGAAGCCAGTTTGGAGGATTTTCACGGAAGCTGGGCTTTGCTTTGTCTCACTGCTGTCCTCTTGAGGGTCTCCTTTTTAAATGAGCAGTGAAGAGAGTAAACGGCTGCTGAATTTGCCATGTTTTGGTGGGCTGCCTGATCTATGTTGGAAAGCAGCTTTGCCTTGACAAAAATGTCAGTGAAGAAAATGTTTGTGCAAGAAATACAACATTTAAATGTGTAGCTGTTCCCAGCTGTTCCTCTGAAACCCGTGCTAATGCTCAGCAGCACGTGTGACCTTCTGTTGGGTTCCTCTTCCCTCCGTGCTTTTGTCCCCGAGCCTTCGGGTGCTTCTCTTTCGGGTGTTTAACTGGGCCCGTTGTCTGGCCGTGCGGGGGAATGTCTGGCTGCTGTTAATGGTGAAGGGAGAATGTTAGCGCAAAACACTGAGCTGCGGTGCAGGTGGCACGTGAAATGGCCTCAGAGCTCACGGAGGTCGTCAGCCCTTTAGGTTCCTTGGGGGAGTGGGACACTAGACAGTGGCTTATGGGGTGAGACAGATGGCATTGCTGTTAGCTTGGGACTGTTACGAGACCGTTGTTTGCTTAACTGCCCGCGCGTCGGCTGTCATCAGCTTGGTGTCCCTGTCCCTGTGTTTCTCACAACTGTTTCCCGGCAGCTCGGGGCTACTGTCGCAGCTCACACCCCTGTACGCTGTTGTTAATTTTGGAATTTGTCTTTCCACAAAATGTGGCCTTTCGCATCGATGCCTCGTGGCAGAATACAGTATGAATGTCATCATATTTAGAGCTTTGTGGCTATGCTGTGTTTTGACACATACGTTAAAATTTGTAAATAAAAGGATATTCAGATTCCAAATTTCTGGGTACCAGTGCATGCTTACAAATGCGAGATGCGCTCACTTCGTCTTCCCTGGACTTGTGGGCAAATGCAGCCAAGCTGCTCGCCTAAAACGGACCCATGGGGAATTCACCAGGGCCGCAGTGCGGGGAGCAGCCCCCAGCCGGGGCCCAGTGCCTCTCCCGGCGCGAACACTGGGACGCGCAGCCTCAGCACCCCTGGGTGGTGGGTCCTCGTCCCGGAAGCGGTCTCTGCCGGGAAAGCGTTCGGGGAGACCTCCCTGCTGCCCCACTGCGGGATGCTCTGCCCAGCGCTGCATCGGACGGATGGCCAGGGTTTGGGGTTTACTGTCTGGGGAGGGGAAAGGTTTTAGGGGAAGGGGGGGGG